ATTCAGCAGAATAGATTATGATAATTGGTCCCATCTGGCTTAAAGATTTAGGAAATCAATACATTCTTGGAGAGATGCTCTGTGAAATTGCTGCTAGTGGTGATGTGAGGCTTGCAAACACTCACCTCAGCCTCCGTGTCAAAATTCTGGCCTGATTTACAGCTCAGAAAACCCCTGTTTTAGTGAAATGGGTCCTTGCCATTAGGATGGACTCGATGATTTCAGAGGTCTTTTCAAACCTAACTGATGGTGTGATTCTGTGAAGCAGGAGGAAAACCATTTCCTGTGATCAGTTTAGATATCAAAACAAAAGAATTTTTTAAAAATGTTACTTAAATGTAAAAAGAATACTTTTAAATTTTATTTAGAATGTAATTATAAGCATTTCACAATCACCAAGAGAAGGTTGAATGGGACTCTGAGCAACCTGGGATAGTGGAAGTTGTCCCTGCCCATGGATGATCTTTAAGGTCCCTTCCAACTCAAACCATTCTGTGATTCTGTGATGAAATTATTGCACTATCTGCTGTCATCTGGAATTTCAAGGGGAGCCCTATTTTGATTCAGGCAGACTTTTGGTTTAATTTCCACTTTTCAAATTTGAGAAAATATTTGCACTGTTATTTCAAAGATTTCAACCATGTCAAATTTTACCATAATGAAAAATTGGGCTAATGTATTGAAAAGTTTGCTCAAGGAGGTGGATGTTTTTTTAATGGAAAGAACAGTTGGTTCTGCAGAAACATGGGAATTTTTAGCAAGCGCTGCATGCTTCCCTTCAGAAAGGAGTGAAAGTGTTCATGTTTTTCCAACCAATCTGCCATTCACACAAAGGCAGGCAGAAGGACATGGTCTCAGTGGGACAATAGCCATTTTCTGGAGAGCAAGAGGAAAACATAAAGTGTGGTGTTAGAACAGGAGAGATGAAAAGATAAGAATTAGAAAAAAGAACTAAAAAAGAAAAGTGGAGGGAAATTTGCACAGCTGTTTCTGGACTAAAACAAGAGCTTTTTCTGTAGAAAAAGTGTGTGCAAACTGCAGCAAATCCCAGGACAAGGTGGTGGAATTGCAAGCCTGAGAAAGCCTTGCTTTTTTTTTTTGTTTATATTGCACAAAAGCATCTTTCTGTGGAAACGAGCCCTCTCTGATCTTTTTCATTCTCTTGACGCAGAAATAAAACAACTTAAGAGTCAAATAAAAAGCTGGGAACAGAATAAGCAGTCTGAAACTATATCACACCAGATAAAATTCCCTGGAATTATCTGTGAATTCATTGAAACTGTATTTTATGTTTTGCTTCAAGACAACTGCTTTGTTGAGGAGGTAATGTATAGATTAAGACAGGACACTTAAACTCCAAAGTCCCCTCGGAGAGTTCTTTCTGGTATAAATCTGCTCTCCTTTAACTTGGATTATAAACAAACTCCATGATATGCACCTGGTTCTGGCAGGGTCTCTATTATTTCTCTCCCAAAAGCAGCTTTATAAAGAGAACACACTGCATTTCAACAGCAATATAAATAATGTTGCAGTTGGGGATCTCTTGCGCCGCTTTCATTTTTCTTTCTTCCCTTTTCATCTGAACTGAACCACACCTCTCTAAAAATACTCACTTTCTTAATGAAAACCATATTTTTGGGCATTTTTTTTCCCCCCGTGTGTGCATGACCTGTTGAAATGCCTGCACAATCTTTAATGTCAGATTCAGACGACACATGTCTTATGAAAAAGTCTGGGACTCAGCTCTCAGCAGGGCCTCCCAGATCTGTCCCACGCCTTTATGAGAAAGAGGGACAAAACCTTCTGGTTTTGGCATTTTATATTGGAGTCTGCTCTAAGCTAGGCAAGAGGAAAAAAAAAAAAAAAGAAAAAAAAAAGGAAAAAAAATAGCAACGTAGAGTCTAGACAGAAGAGATTGGGTTGAAATCTGGAAGCTATTCAGTGAGGCTACGGCACATGGCAGCTTGACTGCAGAAAGAGATCACATTACGCTGCCTAATTACACATGAAAAATGTACACATCACTTTTCTTAAATGCTTGGAAAAATAGATGTTCAGATGGCAACTGCGAGCCAGTAACTGAGCCAGTCGTACATAGTTGGAACGCCTCAAAAATGGCATTTCTAAAGCCTGCAGGGTTGTTTTTTTGGTTTTTTTGTGTGTGTGTGTGAGTTTTTTTACAGTGTAATTATTTTATGTGTGTGTGTGTGTGTTCATAAAACAACTTCTAAAAAAGGCTTTCTAAATTTAGCAGGCGGTTGTGCTGCAGGAGCATGAAAGGTGAAAATCCAGCATGTAAGCAGGAGGAATGAGGGCCTAATCCTGACTCCTCATGAACCATTTCAGCCAGATTTCCTTGGAAATTTGGGTTGATCCACAGGCTCATCTGCTTGTGTGCTGGGAGCAAATAGGGTGGGGTTTAAACCTCCAAGGGGAACATCCCATGGCAGCAAAGACAAGCAGATGCCTGGGTATTTGCAGCACCTATGGCCTCGAGGTTGTGTGTTTATATCCTGCCTAGGAGATGTTTAAAAGAGAAGTTTCTCCTTTCTCATGGACAAAGGAGAGGGGGGAAAAAATAATCTCATTTATTGTGTTGTTTGAGCATGGAGCTCTCCTGTCATCGCCTCCTCCTGACCTCGTGGCTCAGGGCTGATGGCTCCTGTTCTGCCCCACTCCTGCCAGTGATGGGTTAAAAGAATCCAGAGATAAGTTTGATTGAGTTATGCTTTTGTTTCCATCTGTTTGGATGGCATCTGCTCTTCTTTTTAGCTTAAACACAAATGCTCAAAGATGGGATACAAATAGGGCTTGGACGGGATATCTCCATAGGTGCCTTCAACTCTAAATACTTTGTGACTCTGTGGTTCTGTGGTTTTGTGATTTTGTGACTTCTCCCAGGGACAAAACAGTTTTCCAAGCTATTTCCAAAGATTTGCTATTTCAATCCAGCTAACGAGACCTATGGAAGAGGATTTTTCAGGGGAAAACATCAATATGTCCATCTGCCTTCCAGACTTTGCTTTTCCTAGAAGACTGATCAGAGCAATCTCCTCCAAGAGAAGAAGTGCCCAATCCTGCCCTCAGTGCCAGTCTGGTTAACACAGAATAAAAACCAGTCCCCAAAGCCCTCTCTGGTAGCCAGGCTCTCCATGTGACTACTCCCTCGGAGTGCCTTTGAGTCCTTCCCTCCTGGAGCCAGCGGCCAGTCAGACCTTGGCTGAACTGTTAATCCTTCCAGACAAAGAGGAAAGAACATCTTGTAAAGTTTTGTTGCTGTTGTTATTGTAAAAATGGACTAAGCACGGAGCAACTGGCCAAGCTATCTGGCAAAAGTGACCCGCAGAAAAGTCTTTCAGAAGAAAAAAAATGATCTTTTCTGGATATGGGACTAAGCTTCCCCAGGTCAGGAGGAAGAACTGCATTAATCCAGCAACTCCCAGCTGGAATATGGGTTGTTGTGCTGATTATTTCATCACCGTGCTCTGCAGGACCTTCCTCGGATTCTCCCTATTTGCACAGCCTGGGCCTGCTGGAGTCCTGCTGAGAAAGATCAGTCACACAAGAAGTTGATGGGGCAGAATTTGGGTTGGAAACCATTCTTCTCTGGCCAGGGCACCTCTCCTGCTCCTGCAGGAGGGAAGGACAGGGGCTCTGCCAGACCCTCCAGGGAGCCAGGTTTGCCGTGGAGGAGCTGGGATGTGGGTATAAGTGGGAGCCATGACCACATTAAGGCTGTTTTCCTTTAGGACAGGCAGGAACCATTGTGGGCAAGGGCTTCCTTCCCAGCTTAAACCTCTGCAGAGGTTTGGAGGGGATGGATGGACAGACCCAGCCTGGCCTCTGCTCCTCTGAGTATTTCCCCACGGTGTATTTTGTGTCCCGCTGCGGTCGGAGGCAGCAGCACCAAACTCTGAGAGTCCTTCAGCACAGCAAGGCCTCCTCTTCCAGAAGGGTCAGCCTTGGGTGTAATTTATGAGGGTTGTGGTAGCCCTGCTACCCTCTGGCTGCTTGTGATGAATTTTAAATCAAGTGAATATTTTGTGCTCGCTGGTGAAGGGGGGAGGAATGATGGCAGGAAACAAATCGCTTCCTCTGGTCATTCCTCTCGCCGCAGCCACGCTATTTTTAACAAATCTTATTAAAAATTATACAACCCCGTATTTTCTGGAATCTGTTTTATTGAACAAGTACAAAACAAACCAAGGCAGGAAAAATGCACCATTTGGAGCGGCTCCTTTTGCTGCAACTGATTTAGCAAAACAAGCCACAGGGGAACGCACACGGCTTTCTAGAGCTGCTTCCTGCGGCCATCCCTCTCTCTCCATGTGGAAGAGAGGAATATTTTACCAGCTGCATCACTTCATGCAATAGTAAATTATTCTAAGTGTTCTGGTCACCACAAAATACACTGTCTTGGAGGTTATTCCCATTATCAGAGTTATTTGTTTAATTTCTTGCTGCAGCCAGCTTTAAACAGCGTCTTTTCCAAAAATATCATCCAACCCATGGGTGTCTGCTTAGCAGAAGGGGCTGAAACTGAAAACAGAGCATCCAGATTTGGGCATTTCCTAGCTCAGGGTCAGCTGGGACAAAAGTTTGATGGAGGGAAATTCTTCTTACAAGTTACTTTCAAGATTCCTGGTCTCTAGTAACTGTTTACTGCGCTACCATCTAGAAATCACTAATAAATTTGGAATTCTTATGAAGAAATGTGAAAAATAGCTTTGTCTGCAGCTGTGTCTGGTGGCAAGAGGTGAGGCTGATGATTAGATAATCTTAATATCAGCGTCAGCTTTCTGTTCACTCAGGTGTCTCACCCTCACTGCCCTGGACCATTCCTTCCCTGCCACTCCTCACTCACAAAGACTGAATTTTGTACTGAGAGATTTTGTATAAATGCAGAAGACATCAGAGTCTTCTGCATTTAACAACAAACGTAAACTTGGGCCCTGACCATTCCAAATATTTACATGCCTAACTTGAAATTATTTCAACAGGGTTTAGGTGCCAGAAGACCTTGTTGAAGCTTTTCTGGATCAGAAATTAAACTTCAAAGTCACATTATCACAGGTATTGCTATTTACCATGATATCCTTGGCCCAAGAAATGGGATCTTCTTTTGAATTTTGTGGCCCCACCCACAAAATTTTTGTCTCCATTTGTGAAAACACACATTAGTGAGTTTGGCTTAAAGGAATCTCATTAAAGGTTTGGGAGATGGGACAGGAAATTTTCTATTTCATCTGTTATGTCTTATCATTACCATTAAGAGCAATGATGTTCATTATGATGGTAGGTTAAGTACTTGCCTTACTCATTTTGTTTAGACTTCAAAAAAATTATTAACAAGCATGTCTATTACTGATCTGGATCAGATACAATTATTATACAATATGATCAAAACCAAAATGTTCTATTATTCTTTGAGATCCACCAGCATGTATCTCAATGTGTTCTTCCTGTTAATCTTAAAATGAATGTCTTAAACTAGACTTTTTTAGAGATTTCAGACAAATACCATTATTATTATAATAATAAATTTATTTATTTATAATTTTTCATTAGATAATAGAATAGCTTCAATCTCTTGTTGATGAAAACATTTAGAACTCCTTGCTCCCACATCTCTGAAGAAGTACCTCAGAAATCTCACCATGACACATGAACATTTTCAGCCCTAGGTAAGAAATCTAAAGTAAAAGTTGTCCCATATTTCTCTCCCTGTGGGAATCACAAGTTGTGTGGTTTTTACTGGTTTGGGCTCATTTATTTTTATTTTAGGGATCAGAGGATGAAGTCACCTTAGATATTCAACTATGTATTTTATCCAGAATGTTTTTCCCATTGGTTTCCTTTCCTACAGATGATTCCAGGAGATTTGTACCTCAATGTGAAACAGATTATTCCTTTCTCAGAGATGTTTACAATTTACAGTGACTCCAAGAGATAACAAAGCTGGTGGGTTTTTTTAGGATATTAAGCTTAATTTTCCTCCTTGTTGCTTTCAGGTCACATTCTCAGGGTCACCTCTTCCAGGAGGTTGCTCCATCACCTGTGACAGTAGCAAATAGGGATCTGTCCTGCACTGGTGATCAGTGATTCCCTGGAATTGTGCCTACAGACTGCAAGACCCTGGATCTGAGGTTAGCACCATCGATTAATCCTGGAAGTTTTAAAATAAATAGCTCCTGTATGCTGACTTTCCCAAAATCTGAGATGAATTTAATGGTAAGAGGCCCAACATCTGCTGGGAGAGACCCATCCAAAGACCACGGAAATTCTTGAATCCAGATGATATGAAGCCCAGGCTGAGCTTAAATGGAGCTCCTGGCCAGTGAGGATGTTTTGGGCGACTCTCTGCTAACAAAGTCCTGACACTGACCTAACTGCAGGCTGGAGGACAAAAAATGATAAAACCCCAATTAAACAAACAAAAAAAACCCTACAGAATAAGTAGCACCATACAGAGCTTCAAGCATGAGGCAGAATGGAAAAGTATTTCAGCAGGAAAACTGGTTTAATCTCCACCTAAAAGCTTGTTCAGGAGACCTGAGGGTTAGGAAGGAAGCCCACCAGAGTGAGGGAGCAGATCATCAGCCAAGGGAGAGCAGCAGCAGGCTCAGGACCTAAATCCCCTTGGCTGGGAAAGCTGCCTGCTACCAGCAAAGTCCAAGGAAAGGTCAGTGCCTGAGGTCATGGCAATCTTGGAATGACAGAAAACCCCGCTTAACTCTTTGCAGGCTGTTGCCACCAAAACTTCTCCTAGGAAAATCCTTTTTTTTTTTTACTAATGCCACCTCTGCAATTTGGGGTAAAATTTCCCATCTGCACAGAGGAGCACAGGTTCACAGTGAGCAGAGGACACCCCTACTCACATTTTTGTCCCACTATTTTTCTATCTCCAAAACAAGGAAAATTTTTGGCAACATTTACTGGAACCAAAGGCTTTTGCTACCTTTTTTTGCATTTGGGATATCCCAGGAGGGCTCCACACCTCACAGATGGAGTCCCTAACAGAATGCAGCAAAGGTAAACAGACAAAAAATGAGGAATAGCTTATTTAGCTGAAACTGAAGAAGGGCTGTAGGTCAGGAGGAAAGATCACACAAGCTGGAATACAGCCAGGACACCAAAGGCAGACCTTTAAAACCTGAGGGAAAACTCCCAAACCTTTAAGAGCTTCACTGAATGCGGTTGGGAGTCATGGACACACTCAGTTTCTCCTTTCTCCCTGCCCTGTGGCAACACCACAGCCAAGGAAAAGAAAGTGGGAACTTCTGAATTGCTGTGGAACATGATCCAAACTGCCCAGACTCCTGTAGAATTCCATTTGTGCATCCCCCATGGGAGGTGACAGTGCTGAGCTGTGAGGAGGGCTGGGGGTTCAACACAAACAGGGTCTTTTTCATGAATCCTTTCCAAAATCTTCATATGGATATACCCTGCAGGAAAACACAATTTCTCCCTGGCAGTGGCTACTTATAAAAGCCTGATACATTTGATTCTGGAAGGAAGGTGTCTTTGGGTTAAATAAAATAAAAATAAAATAAAAACAGCCCACCTCAAAATCCTAGTTCCATGGTATACAGAAAACTGTGGGAACCCTGTTAAAAAAGTGTCACTGTATTAAGTTGTGCAGTTGGGTTTCCTTCTGTGTTCTTTTGTCACAATTTAAAGTGAGGACAAGAATGTTTCTCAAACCAGCATTGTGCTGACGTTCGACAATTCAGGATATACATCCTCGGAATTTTTATAAAGTGCAATTCTTAAATATTATTTTTCCAAAATGCTGCCCAGAGGACCCATTCTGGCTGATCAAACAGCCCCTGGAACTGCAGTAAATGCTCACACAGCATTCCTCCAAACAGGGCCTCGTATGAAAACGAAACACCGCAGGGGCACTGTGAAACACCAGTTAGCACCTTTATAAAACCCTGCTCCCGAGGTTAACTGCGCTGCAGCCCTGGCAGATCACAGAACCGAGAGTCTTGTACGAGCACAGGGTGGAATTGTGTTAATTTGTCTCAGAGGGTGCAATTGCAATGGTCCTTTCTTGTCTTCAGAGGAATCCAGCTCGGAGACGATGCACGCTGGGAGAGATTTTACGGGAACCTGCTTCTGCAGGGGGGTGCTCTGGCTTTCACACAGCTGCTCTTATGCCCTTCAATCTACAGCAGTCTGTCTGAAGAGGAAGTACAGAGTTCTACACTGAAATTTGCTCTGTGATCAAGTGAGCCACATGATGTTTCATCCTTACGCCGCGTCGGGTCTTTGGCACGGCGAGATGTCTTTCCCTGCTTGGGAAAAGACAAGGCAAACAGTAAAAGGGCTGAAATCCATGCTGCTTCCTTCCTTTCTTGTGTTTTCTTTTGCCAGCTACACAATATTCTCTCAGAGAAATCTGCAAGCCATCAAGTGCAGCAGGCAGCGTTTGCTGGGAGCTGAGCCGTGCGTTTGGCGGGACCCCCTCCCCAGCGGGGCTGGGACCCCCTCCAGGGCTGCACACACACACAGAGCTCCTGCAGGCAGGTTTACACAAGGCTCAGACTAATCCAGCAGTTTGAGCCCGTCAAAAGGTGTGATCCCACTCCCAGATCTGCTCTGGAACGGGGCCTCAGCGCTGTTTTGGAGAGTGAGATTCTTTCTGTCTTTAAAGCAGGACAGCAATGAGTGCTGGAGCCCAGAAACCAACCCTGCCCTGGCCTGCTCCACAGCCTGGGAGAAGGAAAGGGATGGGGATTGTGTCCCTGTGCCCCACAGGTGAGAGCCCTGAGACCTGCAGAGCTGCCCCAGCCCTGTCCCAGCCCAGGAGGAGCTGGAGCTGCTGCAGAGAGCCCAGAGGAGGCTCCAGGATGAGCAGAGGGATGGAGCAGCTCTGCTGGGAGGAAAGGCTGGCACAGCTGGGATTGTTCCCCTGCACAGGAGAAGCTTTGCTGAGCTCAGGGTGGCCTTGCAGGGCCTGGAGGAGCCCCAGGAAACCTGGAGAGAGACAATTTCCAGGGCATGGAGGGACAGGACACAGGGAATGGCTTCACACTGCCAGAGGGCAGAGTTAGTTTGGATATTTGGAAGAAATATTTTACTGTTAGAGTAGAAGGCACTAGAACAGGTTTCCTAGAGGAATTTTGGATGCCCTATCCCTGGAAGCATTTCTCAGTGCCATTCTCAGTTTTCTTTCTTTCTCACAGAAAGAAAACCCCAACAGCTGCCTTTTGGTCAGAAACTATCACTCCAGTGAGAGTATTTTTTTTTTTCCTGTTAGTTGTATTAGCTTTTTGTACAAGTCATTTCCTCTAAAGGAGTTAGATTAAAAAAGAAAAGTTCCACAAAAGCAAAAGTCAGTGACCATCTTATATTTTGCCTGATTTTTTTTTTTTTTAAAGAAGTGTTTCCCCTCTTTCTTTGTGTGCAAGGGCTGGGAGACGCCCTTTGTATTGAGAAGATGCCAAAAAGGAAACCTCTAATGCCTGTAGCCCCTTCCTCTGATGCCAAAGCTTAGCCATGCAAACCCAATAAAAGACTCCACAGTGTCCAATTGCTTCAAGAGTTGATGGTTTAATATCTGAAGCCCAACACTGACTGACTCCCTAGAAGCAGGGAGCTGATTTAGTGGGCGAGAGGAAACAAGGACAGGTATATTTACTGCTCATCTATGTTTTACTGCCAGGTATGAAAGATTAATGAGCTCTGAACCTGTGGGCAGGCAGTTTTCCTGGCCTGACTTACACTAAAGAGGAGCTGGAAGGGGTTCTGACAGCACAGCACACCCTGATCTAGGTAGGTCAGGAAAAAAAGAGGGGTTGAGAAGGGGAATATAAACTAGAAACAGATAAAATGCTTATAAGCGGAGCAACTTGTACTATCTGCAGATTTACCATTTTTTTAATATTCTTTTGATAGAATCACAGAATCATTGAGGTTGGAAGAGACATCCAAAATTATCCAGTCTTACTATTAATTCAGAAGCACCAAAACCAACCCTGAGCCACGTCCCCAGGTGCCACATTTAGACACCCCTTGAGCACTTCCAGAGCTGATAGCTCTACCACCTCCCTGGGCAACTCATTCCAATGCCTGACCATTCTTCCAGGGAAAAACTTTTTTTCTTCTATCTAATCTGAACTTTCCTGGGCAGGACTTGAGGCCATTTCCTCCCATTCTTTCACCTGAGAATCATTTTTCATGTCTAAGAAATGCCATCCATGTAAAGTCACTTGGCAAAGAAGCCCCCAGAAATAAATCTATAAACACTCAGGTGGACACTGCACTTGTGGTGGACACCTTGGAGCTCGTGTTTCGTGTGGCAGAGTGGAAGAGGGATGAAGTAAAACACAAAAGCTGTGCCACCCTGGCTGCAAGATGACCTGAACTCTGTAAGGGAGCAGGGAGAAAAAAATGGGGGTCTTCAACTTTGAGCAGGGTCGGCTCCACCAGCCATTTATTTTATCTAGTGACTCTTAAATTTATTCAGGGTGTCCCCCTGTGCAAGGTGAGGGATGCCAGCACCAGCCCAGGGTGCAGAAATGAGGGAGATCCTCTCCAGAACCAGACATCCTTCACAGAGGGAATGTTGGTCACAAAAACCCCGGGAGCTCCAGGCTGGGCAGAGGGGCTGGAGAGCTGGAAAAGGCCCTGGGGGTGCTGTGACAGGGGCTGGACACGAGCCCAGGGGTGCCCAGGGGGACAAGAGGCCGCTGGCAGCTGGGCTGGATGAGGAATTGTGTGTCCAGCAGGAGCAGGGCAGGGATTGTCCCTCTGGGCTGGCTCTGAGAGGCCCCTCGAGGGCTGTGCCCAGTTCTGGTCCTGCAGGAGAGACCTGGAGGGGCTGGAGCGTGTCCAGGGCAGGGAACGGAGCTGGGAAGGGGCTGGAGAATTCCCGAGGGAGCTGGGAAGGGGCTGAGCCTGGAGAAAAGGAGGCTCAGGGGGGACCTTGTGGCTCTGCACAGCTCCTGTCAGGAGGGGACAGCCGGGGGGTCGGGCTCTGCTCCAGGGAACAGGGACAGGACAAGGGGAAATGGCCTCAGGCTGGGCCAGCAGAGGCTCAGCTTGGACAGCAGCAGCAATTTCCCCATGGAAAGGGTTCTCAGGCCTTGGCAGGGGCTGCCCAGGGGGGTTTGCAGTGCCCATCCCTGCCAGGGAAGGCCTGGAGGTGGCACTGAGTGCTCTGGGCTGGGGACAAGGTGGGCATGGGGCCCAGCTGGGACTCCATGGGCTGGGAGAGCTTTTCCAGCCCCAGGGATTCTGGGGTTCTGTGAGACGTTGTTAGAAAACACACAGATTCTTCAATAATGGGAACAGCGTGGGGACATTAAAATATATTGTAATTACAACATAATGTATACTAATGCTTTTATTTCATAGACCGAAATAGAAATATATAATATGTAATAAAAATAAATTATTTGCTAATTTTACTTATTCCTTCAATTTTCTCTTCATTTTTCTATTCTTATTCTTCTTATGGCTCTTCTTCTTCTTCCTACTCTTTCTTACTGTTCTTCTTCTTTGCTACTTCTATGTATTTTTATATTCTTATTCCTATTCCTATTCTTCTTTTTCTTCTTCTACTACATATTTTAAAATTCTTATTCCTATTCTTCTTCTACATATTTTGAAATTCTTATTCCTATTCCTAGTACTCTTCTAAGTATTTCTAAATTCTTATTACTATGCTTCTTCTATCTATTCTTAAATAAGCATTCTATATCTTGTCTTTTTAGTCTTCATCTTTGTCTTCTTCCTCTTTGTTGTCTTCTTCATCTTCTTCATCCTATTTGTCTTCATCTTCTTCACTGTCTTCATCTTCTTCATCTGCTGTGTTGTCTTTGTCCTCTTTTTCTGTGTCATTGTCTTCATCTTTGTCTTCATCTTCTTTGCCATTGTCTTGGAAAGGTTTTTGCCGAGTCTGTTCCAGGAGCCTCTGCTTTGTGCCCAAGAAATTGTTGCTGCACCTTCCAGGCCCGGGGAAGGGATGGGGGAGCCTTGGCCTCTTTGGGTGGGCATTTTCCAAGCCTCACTGCCCAGGTGTTCGTGGCTCTGCCTGCTTGGGTTTTGCTTGGCTTGGTTGGCCCATCCAAAGACTTTTCCCTTCCCTGGCTTGGAGGAGCTGCAGCAGCAATTTCTGAACCCCTTGAGCCGAACCGATCAGCTGCTGCCCCGACACCAGAGGAGTGGGACTGGCAGGAGCGGTCATCTTCATATTTTTCCTCTTCTTTGCCTTCTTTATCTTCATGTCCTTTATATTTTTCTGTGTCCGTTTTACTCCTCCGTCCGTGGCCTGAGGCAGGAACAGCGGAACAGCCCCCGCAGCGCCCGCAGCACCCGCCTGAAGCGGGAGGGACGTTTCCCGGGGGCAGCCGGCTGCCCGCGGAGGGCCTGGGCTCCCAGCCGGGCAGGCCAGGGGCTGGGGGGGCTGTGCGGGGCAGGCGCCGGCCCTTGGCTGCACGGCTCCTGCTCAGGGCACTCTTGCCCCTGGGACACTTCTTGGGAGTTGTTCATTTCTCTGAGGGACACCTCTGCCTGTTCCTTATTTTCCCACTGGGAAAGCTCTGAATTGATGTCATCTTCCCAGTCTTTGTCCTCCCCAGTCAAGGTCCGATCCTCGCTCTCCTGCACTGCCCGCACAGATGCTGATGCTGCCCCCTCCTCCTGCTGCTCCCTGGGGGCTTGGGAACTCAGCTGGGCAGGCAAGGGGCTGGGGATGCTGTGTGGGGAAAGCACTGAGCTCTCTTCATTTTTGGCTGTGTCTACAGATTCGTCCCCAGCCAACACCTGTTGAAGGGCAAGCAGCCGCTGCTTCAGTGCCTGGACCTCCTGCAGCGCCACGCCCAGGATCTCCCAGTAGATGTTCTGCTCCGTGGGACTCTGTGGGGCAGGAGAGGGGCTCTGTGGGGCAGGAGAGGGGCTAAGCAGGGCAGGAGAGGGGCTAAGCAGGGCAGGTGCTGCCTCTGCTGCCACCGCTGTGCCCTTGGGGCTGGGAGGGCTGGGTCCCAGCTGGCGACAAGGCTGGTGCTTCTCCTCACTCACCGTTTGCACGGGTATGTCCTTTCTCCATTGGGAGAGCTCCTGACTGCTCACATGCTCCTGCCGTCAGGACAGCTTTTGGTCATCAATATCTGGCCACTGGGGCAGCTCTTGGGCTCTGGCGTCTGGTCCTTGCAACAGCTCCTTGTCACTGCTGTCTATCACTTGGTAGAAGTCTGATTCTCTGCTATCTTTCCACTGGGACATGTGGGAGCAGAGCTCTTGTTCGCATGGTGACAGTTCTGCAAACCTCTCACCTTCCCTCTGGGAAAATTTTTGGACATCGTCGCGGGAAAGCTTGCGGTCCATTTCAGCAAAGAGCCTCTCCTCCTCCTCAGTCTCTGTCAGTGGTAGGACTGACCTGCCCACTGTGGGCTTCCAGCCAGCTGGGCAGGGGTCGGATGGACTGGGAGCTGGAGTTGGCTTTGTCCTCGTCTCTGTTGTCTGTCGCTGTCGGCGTCAGGCGCAGACAGAGCCAGGGAGCTGCGTCCTCCTCAGAGAGCGGCTCTCCTGGGACTGGGCACCCCAGGGCTCTGCGCCCCTTGGAGACCCTCAGCCCGGGTGGAGCTCCCTGATGTCACAAGGGTCTCTGGCCACCACCACGTCCCACATCACAAAGGGCCATGACACCATGTGCCGTGTCACAAAGGGCCACCCCGGAACCCCAAGAGCAGTGGAGCACACAGGAACCTGTTGCAGTTTGTGTTTATTTCATTAAGTTATTGTTAAATGGTTCATTCTGTTATCCCCCCACATCTTCCCCAAGTTGTTTTTTCCCTATGTTGTACACTCCCTTTAAAGCTGTCCCTCAAGTTATTCCCCTCCCTTGGTCCCAGTCCCTTCCCTGCCTGTCCAGGTAACCTTGCCCCTTTTCCCTGAATGTTCCCTGCCACTCAGCCCCTGGGCCAACCCCTGATTGAAACCCTCACTTGGAAATCCCCTAATCCAGGATGCCCCATTGGCCCCTGTGCCTTTCCCTCTGCTCCCCCGATCCTGATTGTCCCACAGTGTTGCTGTAATCCCCTCACTTCTGCCCTGAGGATTCCCTGTTGCTTCGCTGTTAGTACCCACTGCCTGACTTGGATCTGAGCAAAACCCCTTGCAAACGAGGGTGAGGGGCTCTTTTTTATCCTGCTCTCTCCACCTCGAATAAGCTTTCCCTATGGAAGCTCAAGGTAAAGAGGCTCCTCCTTCCTCCTTGGCCTGCTCCCTGCCGTGGCTGTAACAGCGTGCAGGGCAGAGCTCGCAGCTCTCCAGGTTCAGCTGTGGGCAAAGCCCAGTCCCCAGCTGTTCCCCAGTCCCGTCGTGGCTGCCGGAGCGCACAGAGCCAGCCCGGGTTGCGGGGGGCTTGGGCAGGAGCTGGCCGGGAGCATCCCCGGAGCGGTGTCCTGGCGGGCCCGGCTGTGCCCCGAGCCCTGCGAGGCTTTGGCCCCGCTGGCACACGGCAGCCCCAGCCCCGCAGTGCCGAGCCCCGGCTTTGCAGGCTGCGCTGCCCAGGGCACGAGGAATTGGCCGCACGGCCGTGCCGGGGGCTCGTGGGCAGCGGCTCCAGGGCCGAGCTGTGTGAGATGTGACACTAAACCCACAGGCTTTAGTCTGTTTGGGAGAAATAAATGAATGTTTCAGTCTCATTGGGATAGAAAACCACTTTTGATTGCACTGTTCTGTCCTACACTGGTTTGAAAAGACAAAATACTAAACTGGTATAATTAGATGTCCCTGTGGGTCAAAAGTCATCAAACTTCCCTCCTGCTGCTCCTGCACAGAGAATGCTGGCCTAGGGACTCTGTGCTGTTGGATTTTGGGTGAGGGAGGAGGGAGACACTTGGACACAAGAAATGGGCGCACCTCCAGTCCCAAATATTCATGAGGGATTTGTCATCCTTCAGTAATTCCTTTTTAGTTCTGGAAAGCAGATAGCAGGAGGAGAGGGCCTAGGAAAGGAACAATCCTTCTGTACCCCCTGCCAGGAGGGGACAGCCGGGGGGTCGGGCTCTGCTCCAGGGAACAGGGACAGGACAAGGGGAAACGGCCTCAGGCTGGGCCAGCAGAGGCTCAGCTTGGACAGCAGCAGCAATTTCCCCATGGAAAGGGTGCTCAGGCCTTGGCAGGGGCTGCCCAGGGGGGTTTGCAGTGCCCATCCCTGCCAGGGAAGGCCTGGAGGTGGCACTGAGTGCTCTGGGCTGGGGACAAGGTGGGCATGGGGCCCAGCTGGGACTCCATGGGCTGGGAGAGCTTTTCCAGCCCCAGGGATTCTGGGGTTCTGCGAGAGCTCTCCCAGCAGAAAGAAAAGCCAATCCCGGAGAAAGGCCCTGTCCTGGAGCAGCAGAGGAGCAGCCCCGAGGCTGGAGGAGCCAGGAGCGGGCTCCAGGCACGGCTGCTCAGCCCTGAGCCCTGTGGGGCTGCCCAGCAGCAGCAGCAGCAGCAGCAGCAGCAGAGCCCCAGAGCTGCGCTGCTGCTGCGCTGCTGCTGCGCTGCTTTGGGCTCTGTGGCTGCACAGCCCCGTGCAGCTGCTGCCGCAGGGATGTGTCAGGAGCAGCACAGAGCTGCTGCTGCTGCCTCAGCTGGGGCTGCAGCGGGGGAACCCCTCCCGCCCGGCCCAGGGCTGCTGGAGGCAGGCAGGGCTGCAGGAACAGCCCCGGCCCGGCTCCCCGGCCACGGGCAGCGGCAGAGCGGGGCTCCGCTGCCTTCGCTGTGCTGCCTGCACAGCCCTGCTGCAAAGGGCTGCCCGGCACAGCTCTCTGCCAGCCGGGCTCAGCCTGCGCCTCCCGTTTGCCTGCAGAGAGCAGCGACAGCCCTGCCCCGCCGGCCCGGCCGGGAACTCTCCCGCTGCCGCTGGGGCTGAGCCCGCGCTGCCCGCGGGGCGCTCCGGGGCTCGGGCTGGGACAGCGCATCGGCACCTCGGAGAGACAGGACACGGAATCTGGGCACTCTGCTCTGGGGCCTTACCGACGGTGTTAGCAAACACACAGATTCTTCAATAACGGGAACAGCGTGGGGGCATTATGATGCATTGTGATTACAACATATGGTACATTAATGTTTTTATTTCATAGACTGAAATAGAAATATACAATATGTAATAAAAAAAATTATCTTCTAATTTTACTTATTCCTTATATTTTCTCTTCATTTTTCTATTCTTATTCTTCTTATGGCTCTTCTTCTTCCTACTCTTTCTTACTATTCTTTTTCTTTGCTACTTCTATGTATCTTTATATTCTAATTCCTATTCCTATTATTCTTCTACATATTTTAAAATTCTTATTCCTATTCTTCTTCTTCTACATATTATGAAATTCTTATTCCTTTTCCTATTCTTCTTCTTCTAAGTATTTCTAAATTCTTATTACTATACTTCTTCTATCTATTCTTAAATAAACGTTCTATATCTTGTCTTTTTAGTCTTCATCTGTCTTCTTCCTCTTTGTTGTCTTCTTCATCTTCTTCATCCTATTTGTCTTCATCTTCTTCACTGTCTTCATCTTCTTCATCTGCTGTGTTGTCTTTGTCCTCTTTTTCTGTGTCATTGTCTTCATCTTTGTCTTTGTCTTCTTTTCCGTTGTCCCGGAGGGGTTTGTGCCGAGTCTGTTCCAGGAGCCTCTGCTTTGTGCCCAAGAAATTGTTGCTGCACCTTCCGGGCCCGGGGCAGGGATGGGAGAGCTTTGGGCTCTTTGGGTGGGCATTTTCCAAGCCTCACTGCCCAGATCTTCGTGGCTGTGCCTGCTTGGGTTTTGCTTGTCTTGGTTGGCCCACCCAAAGGCTTTTCTCTTCTCTGATTTGGAGGAGCTGCAGCAGCAATCTCTGAGCCCCTCGAGCCGAGCCGAAGAGCTGCTGCTCCGACACAGAGGAGCGGGACTGGCAGGAGCAGTCATCTTCATCTTCTTCCTGTTGTTCACCTTCCTTCTATTCATCCTCGTCACCCTCTCCCGTGTCCGTTTTACTCCTCGGTCCGTGGCCTGAGGCAGGAACAGCGGAACAGCCCCCGCAGCGCCCGCAGCGCCCGCCTGAAGCGGGAGGGACGTTTCCCGGGGGCAGCCGGCTGCCCGCGGAGGGCCTGGGCTCCCAGCCGGGCAGGCCAGGGGCTGGGGGGGCTGTGCGGGGCAGGCGCCGGCCCTTGGCTGCACGGCTCCTGTGCCGGGCACTCAGCCCAGGCCTCCCGAGGGATGGGCACTGGGAGCCCCTCTGCCACTAAAACTTTCCATTTCTGGTCTTGGTTGTCTTCTGGGGGCAGCTCCAGGAGGCTCACATTGTCCCACTCATCATCCTCGGGGCACAGGGGCTTGGCCAAGATGACGTGCTCAGGCCAGTTCTCCTGCATGAGCCCCATGTCACTGTCATTTTCCCAGCTGGAGAGTCCTGAGGGTCTTCTGCCATTCTCACTGGACACATTTTGGGCATGATATTCTTCCCAGTCTGAATGTTCTGCACAGCTGATGACATCTCCTCCGGACAGCACTTGCTCCTCAGCAGTCAGGCTGTGCCGGGAAATGACCATGATGTCCTCTACTACAGGGGACAGCTTCTCCTCTCTTGTGCTGTCCCCTTCAGGGAGCTCAATGTCCTCTTCCACTGAGGACAGCTCCTGGTTACTCATGCTGTCCTCTGGTATCTTCTCAATGTCTTCTTCTACTGAGGACAGCTCCTGGTCACTTGTGCTGTCCTCTGGAATGTTCTCGATGGCCTCTTCCACTGAGGACAGCTCCTGGTCACTCATGCTGTGCTCTGGTATTTTCTTGATGTCTTCTTCTACTGAGGACAGCTCCTGGTCACTCTCACTGTCCTCTGGAATGCCCTCCAGGTCCTCATCCACTGAGGACAGCTCCTGGTCACTTGAGCTGTCCTCTGGAATGCCCTCCAGGTCCTCATCCACTGAGGAGAGCTCCTCATCCCTTGTGCTGTCCTCTGGAACGTTCTCAATGGCCTCTTCCACTGAGGACAGCTCCTGGTCACTTGTGCTGTCCTCTGGAACGTTCTCAATGGCCTCTTCCACTGAGGACAGCTCCTGGTCACTTGTGCTGTCCTCTGGAACGTTCTCGATGGCCTCTTCCACTGAGGACAGCTCCAGGTCCCTTGTGCTGTCCTCTGGAACAACCTTGATGGCCTCTGCCACTGGGGACAGCTCCGGGTCACTTGTGCTGTCCCATGGGATGTCCTCAATTGCCTCTTCCACTGAGGACAGCTCTGGCTCGTTATTGCTGTCCCCTGGAGAGAGCTCGATGACCTCTTCGACCTGGGACAGCTCCTCGTGACTGGATGAGGAACAAGTCTGGGTGTTCTTCTCCTCCTTCATTGAGTCCAGTGGCTTCTCCAAGGAACTGGAGCTGACATCATCCTCATCTTCCCCTTGGGACAGGAGAGCCTCAGGGGGCTCCTCCTCCTCCTCAGTATCTCCAGCTGGGGCAGCAGCTGCCGGCTCGGCCTCCGTGGGACTCTGTAGGGAAGGAGAGGCGCTGGTCAGGGCAGGCACTGCCTCTGCTGCCACTTCTGTCCCCACGGGGCTGGCAGAGCTGGGCCCCTCTGGGGGACAAGGCTGAGGCTCCTCGTCCCTCACTGGGCACAAGGGTCTGTCCCAGATCTCAGAGCTGATGTTGTGTCCCCATTGGGACAGCTCCTGCCTGCTCACATCTTCCTCCCTTTGGGACAGCTTTCGCTCACTCACATCGTCCCACCGGGGCAGCTCTTGGGCTGCAGCGTCTGCTCCTTGGCACAGCTCCCTGCCACTGCTGTCTCTCACTTGGGACAATTCCAGCTCTCTCCTGTCTTCCCACTGGGACATGTGGCAGTGCACACCCTGTCCCCATGCTGAGAGGTCTTGGTACCTCTCACCTTCCCTCCGGGAACACTCTTGGGCATCATCCCATTGGGAATCCTCTGGGACACTCAGATCTCTCTGCAGGGACAGCCTTTGTGGCATCTCTCATCTTCTCCCCATCCCATCTCCTGCAGCCCACTCACATCTATTTCCCACCGGGAAATCTCCTGGGTTGTCACATGTTCTTCTCTCTCCCGCCCCTCTTGGTACATCTCACTGTCTTCCTCCCACTGGGACAGCTCCTGAGCTCTGTTGGCTTCTTCCCCTTCATAGAGCTCTTTGTGTCCCACCTCTGTAGTGGGAAATGTCCCAAACTCTCACACGTACCTGGCTTTGGTACAGCTCTTGGCTGCTCCTCATTCCCTGCCCGGACATTTCTTGGGCTCCTGGAACTTCTCTCTGGTCGGTCGCTTCCATGTCTTCCCTCCGGGAAAGATCTTGGCCCATTTTGTCAAACAGCCTCTCCTCCTCCTCAGTCTGTGAAAGCAGCAGGACTGAGCTGCCCACTGCCCCTGACCACTGCTCGCTGGTGGCTTCCAGCCAGCTGGGCAAGGAGCTGTGGGACCGGGAGTTGGAGTTACCTTTGTCTTCCTCGCTGTTGCTGTCTGTCACTGTCAGCCGCTATCACTGTCAGCGTGTGGCACAGACAGAGCCAGGGAGCTGCGTCCTCTTCAGAGAGCGGCTCTCCTGGAACTGGGCACCCCAGGGCTCCGCGCCCCTTGGAGACCCTCAGCCCTGGCGGAACTCCCTGATGTCACAAGGGTCTCTGGCCACCACCAGGTCCCACATCACAAAGGGCCACCCCGGAACCCCAACAGCAGTGGAGCACACAGGAACCTGTTGCGATTTGTGTTTATTTCATTAAGTTATTGTTAAATGGTTCATTCTGTTATCCCCCCACATCTTCCCCAAGTTGTTTTTTTCCCTATGTTGTACACTCCCTTTAAAGCTGTCCCTCAAGTTATTCCCCTCCCTTGGTCCCAGTCCCTTCCCTGCCTGTCCAGGTAACCCTGTCCCTTTTTCCTGAATGTTCCCTGCCACTCAGCCCCTGGGCCAACCCCTAATTGAAACCCTCACTTGGAAATCCCCTAATCCAGGATGCCCCATTGGCCCCTGTGCCTTTCCCTCTGCTCCCCCGATCCTGATTGTCCCACAGTGTTGCTGTAATCCCCTCACTTCTGCCCTGAGGATTCCCTGTTGCTTCGCTGTTAGTACCCACTGCCTGACTTGGATCTGAGCAAAACCCCTTGCAAACGAGGGTGAGGGGCTCTTTTTTATCCTGCTCTCTCCACCTCGAATAAGCTTTCCCTATGGAAGCTCAAGGTAAAGAGGCTCCTCCTTTCTCCTGGGCCTGCTCCCTGCCGTGGCTGTAACAGCGTGCAGGGCAGAGCTCGCAGCTCTCCAGGTTCAGCTGTGGGCAAAGCCCAGTCCCCAGCTGTTCCCCAGTCCCGTCGTGGCTGCCGGAGCGCACAGAGCCAGCCCGGGTTGCGGGGGGCTTGGGCAGGAGCTGGCTGGGAGCATCCCCGGAGCGGTGTCCTGGCGGGCCCGGCTGTGCCCCGAGCCCTGCGAGGCTTTGGCCCCGCTGGCACACGGCAGCCCCAGCCCCGCAGTGCCGAGCCCCGGCTTTGCAGGCTGCGCTGCCCAGGGCACGAGGAATTGGCCGCACGGCCGTGCCGGGGGCTCGCGGGCAGCGGCTCCAGGAGCCGCGGCAGCCCGGGGAGCAGGGGTGTCCCTCAGGGCTGTGCCCGGGCACCGGGGCTCGGCCCTGCCCGCAGCAGCGGCACCCGGGGGCACCGAGCGCGGCCTCGGCGCCCGGGCAGGGCACGGGCAGCTGAGCGGGGCAGGGGCAGCCCCAAGGCCGGGGCCGTGCCCGGGCACCGGGCCGAGCTGGAGAAGCGGCACTGCCAGAGCCTCCTGCGCTGCCGCAGGGCCGGGCCCGGCTGCTGCCCCCGGCCCGGGGCAGTGCCCGAGGCAGCGGCTCCTGCGGCTCTCCCCTCGCCTCTGCGGCGCCACGGGCACAGCGGCCGGGCCGGGGCTCGCTCCCCGCTGCCGGCCGGGCGCTGCCGAGGGCTCCCCGCCCGCCGGGGCCGGGGCCGGGCGCTGAGGGAGCGGCGCCGCCATCGCTGCCGCCCTCAGGGGCTCTGAGGGGAGCGCGGCTCCCGCCAGCCCCGCTCCGCCCGCACGGGCAGCGCAGACCTGGAGCACAAAGACACACGGCGCTGCCATTGTGTCCGAGCCCTTCAAATGCACCCGCACAGCGGCCCCAGGGGCTGCGCTCGGCCGCGGCAGCAGCGCTCCAGGGCCGAGCTCTGTGAGATGTGACACTAAACCCACAGGCTTTAGTCTGTTTGGGAGCAATAAATGAATGTTTCAGTCTCATTGGGATAGAAAACCACTTTTGATTGCATTGTTCTGTCGTACACTGGTTTGAAAAGATATCGTAAATACTAAACTGGTATAATTAGAGGTCCCTGTGTGTCAAAAGTCATCAAACTTCTCTCCAGCTGCTCCCACTGAGAGAATGCTGGCCGAGGGACTCTGTGCTGTTGGATTTTGGGTGAGGGAGGAGGGAGACACTTGGACACAAGAAATGGGCGCACCTCCAGTCCCAAATATTCATGAGGGATTTGTCATCCTTCAGTAATTCCTTTTTAGTTCTGGAAAGCAGATAGCAGGAGGAGAGGGCCTAGGAAAGGAACAATCCTTCTGTACCCCCTGCCAGGAGGGGACAGCCGGGGGGTCGGGCTCTGCTCCAGGGAACAGGGACAGGACAAGGGGAAACGGCCTCAGGCTGGGCCAGCAGAGGCTCAGCTTGGACAGCAGCAGGAATTTCCCCATGGAAAGGGTGCTCAGGCCTTGACAGGGGCTGCCCAGGGGGGTTTGGAGTGCCCATCCCTGCCAGGGAAGGCCTGGAGGTGGCACTGAGTGCTCTGGGCTGGGGACAAGGTGGGCATGGGGCCCAGCTGGGACTCCATGGGCTGGGAGAGCTTTTCCAGCCCCAGGGATTCTGGGGTTCTGCGAGAGCTCTCCCAGCAGAAAGAAAAGCCAATCCCGGAGAAAGGCCCTGTCCTGGAGCAGCAGAGGAGCAGCCCCGAGGCTGGAGGAGCCAGGAGCGGCTCCAGGCACGGCTGCTCAGCCCTGAGCCCTGTGGGGCTGCCCAGCAGCAGCAGCAGCAGCAGCAGCAGCAGCAGCAGCAGCAGCAGCAGCAGAGCCCCAGAGCTGCGCTGCTGCTGCGCTGCTGCTGCGCTGCTTTGGGCTCCGTGGCTGCACAGCCCCGTGCAGCTGCTGCCGCAGGGATGTGTCAGGAGCAGCACAGAGCTGCTGCTGCTGCCTCAGCTGGGGCTGCAGCGGGGGAACCCCTCCCGCCCGGCCCAGGGCTGCTGGAGGCAGGCAGGGCTGCAGGAACAGCCCCGGCCCGGCTCCCCGGCCACGGGCAGCGGCAGAGCGGGGCTCCGCTGCCTTCGCTGTGCTGGCTGCACAGCCCTGCTGCAAAGGGCTGCCCGGCACAGCTCTCTGCCAGCCGGGCTCAGCCTGCGCCTCCCGTTTGCCCGCAGAGAGCAGCGACAGCCCTGCCCCGCCGGCCCGGCCGGGAACTCTCCCGCTGCCGCTGGGGCTGAGCCCGCGCTGCCCGCGGGGCGCTCCGTGCCTCGGGCTGGGACAGTGCATCGGCACCTCGGAGAGACAGGACACGGAATCTGGGCACTCTGCTCTGGGGCCTTACCGACGGTGTTAGCAAACACACAGATTCTTCAATAACGGGAACAGCGTGGGGGCATTATAATATATTGTAATTACAACATAATGTATACTAATGTTTTTATTTCATAGACTGAAATAGAAATATACAATATGTAATAAAAAAAATTATCTTCTAATTTTACTTATTCCTTATATTTTCTCTTCATTTTTCTATTCTTATTCTTCTTATGGCTCTTCTTCTTCCTACTCTTTCTTACTATTCTTCTTCTTTGCTACTTCTATGTATCTTTATATTCTAATTCCTATTCCTATTATTCTTCTACATATTTTAAAATTCTTATTCCTATTCTTCTTCTTCTACATATTATGAAATTCTTATTCCTTTTCCTATTCTTCTTCTTCTAAGTATTTCTAAATTCTTATTACTATACTTCTTCTATCTATTCTTAAATAAACGTTCTATATCTTGTCTTTTTAGTCTTCATCTTTGTCTTCTTCCTCTTTGTTGTCTTCTTCATCTTCTTCATCCTATTTGTCTTCATCTTCTTCACTGTCTTCATCTTCTTCATCTGCTGTGTTGTCTTTGTCCTCTTTTTCTGTGTCATTGTCTTCATCTTTGTCTTTGTCTTCTTTTCCGTTGTCCCGGAGGGGTTTGTGCTGAGTCTGTTCCAGGAGCCTCTGCTTTGTGCCCAAGAAATTGTTGCTGCACCTTCCGGGCCCGGGGCAGGGATGGGAGAGCTTTGGGCTCTTTGGGTGGGCATTTTCCAAGCCTCACTGCCCAGATCTTCGTGGCTGTGCCTGCTTGGGTTTTGCTTGTCTTGGTTGGCCCACCCAAAGGCTTTTCTCTTCTCTGATTTGGAGGAGCTGCAGCAGCAATCTCTGAGCCCCTCGAGCCGAGCCGAAGAGCTGCTGCTCCGACACAGAGGAGCGGGACTGGCAGGAGCGGTCATCTTCATCTTCTTCCTGTTGTTCACCTTCCTTCTATTCATCCTCATCACCCTCTCCCGTGTCTGTTTCACTCTGCAGTCCGTGGCCTGAGGCAGGGACAGCGGAACAGCCCCCGCAGCGCCCGCAGCGCCCGCCTGGAGCGGGAGGGACGTTTCCCGGGGGCAGCCGGCTGCCCGCGGAGGGCCTGGGCTCCCAGCCGGGCAGGCCAGGGGCTGGGGGGGCTGTGCGGGGCAGGCGCCGGCCCTTGGCTGCACGGCTCCTGTGCCGGGCACTCAGCCCAGGCCTCCCGAGGGACGGGCACTGGGAGCCCCTCTGCCACTAAAACTTTCCGTTTCTGGTCTTGGTTGTCTTCTGGGGGCAGCTCCAGGAGGCTCACATTGTCCCACTCATCATCCTCGGGGCACAAGGGCTTGGCCAAGATGACGTGCTCAGGCCAGTTCTCCTGCATGAGCCCCGTGTCACTGTCATTTTCCCAGCTGGAGAGTCCTGAGGGTCTTCTGCCATTCTCACTGGACACATTTTGGGCATGATATTCTTCCCAGTCTGAATGTTCTGCACAGCTGATGACATCTCCTCCGGACAGCACTTGCTCCTCAGCAGTCGGGCTGTGCCGGGAAACGACCATGATGTCCTCTACTACAGGGGACAGCTTCTCCTCTCTTGTGCTGTCCCCTTCAGGGAGCTCAATGTCCTCTTCCACTGAGGACAGCTCCTGGTTACTCATGCTGTCCTCTGGTATCTTCTCAATGTCTTCTTCTACTGAGGACAGCTCCTGGTCACTTGTGCTGTCCTCTGGAATGTTCTCGATGGCCTCTTCCACTGAGGACAGCTCCTGGTCACTCATGCTGTGCTCTGGTATTTTCTTGATGTCTTCTTCTACTGAGGACAGCTCCTGGTCACTCTCACTGTCCTCTGGAATGCCCTCCAGGTCCTCATCCACTGAGGACAGCTCCTGGTCACTTGAGCTGTCCTCTGGAATGCCCTCCAGGTCCTCATCCACTGAGGAGAGCTCCTCATCCCTTGTGCTGTCCTCTGGAACGTTCTCAATGGCCTCTTCCACTGAGGACAGCTCCTGGTCACTTGTGCTGTCCTCTGGAACGTTCTCAATGGCCTCTTCCACTGAGGACAGCTCCTGGTCACTTGTGCTGTCCTCTGGAACGTTCTCGATGGCCTCTTCCACTGAGGACAGCTCCTCGTCCCTTGTGCTGTCCTCTGGAACGTTCTCAATGGCCTCTTCCACTGAGGACAGCTCCTGGTCACTTGTGCTGTCCTCTGGAACAACCTTGATGGCCTCTGCCACTGGGGACAGCTCCGGGTCACTTGTGCTGTCCCATGGAATATCATCAATGGCCTCTTCCACTGAGGACAGCTCCTGGTCACTTGTGCTGTCCTCTGGAACGTTCTCGATGGCCTCTTCCACTGAGGACAGCTCCTCGTCCCTTGTGCTGTCCTCTGGAACAACCTTGATGGCCTCTGCCACTGGGGACAGCTCCGGGTCACTTGTGCTGTCCCATGGGATGTCCTCAATTGCCTCTTCCACTGAGGACAGCTCTGGCTCGTTATTGCTGTCCCCTGGAGAGAGCTCGATGACCTCTTCGACCTGGGACAGCTCCTCGGCACTGGATGAGGAACAAGTCTGGGTGTTCTTCTCCTCCTTCACTGAGTCCTGTGGCTTCTCCAAAGAACT